TTTTCAATCGCCATTAAAACTGTTAAAATTGCTATTGGCCCAAAGACGTTTTTCATTTAAAGAAGTTTTCCATTTTTTAAACTTTATAGAGACATTTCGAGTTGGCCCACTCATTATAATTTTCTACATATGTTAATGGTGTAAAAATAACAATTATTGATTAAATGTTAGATACTTTATTTTTATATTTTGCATTAAATTAAATTTTACTTTCAATAGCCCAAGCATATGTACAGAATTGGGTTAACAAATATTTATACTTCTATGGGGTGATGCGTTTTTGTTGTCACAGTATATAAATTAAAAGGACTAATGTCACCAGCATTCCCACCTGTAATGGCTGCATCTAGTGTAATAATAAAATGTATTTACTTACTAGTTAGTTACTAGTACAGACACTACTCTACAGGCCAAAAATAATTATTTCAATTGACCCCATCATGCAAATCATTTTCGTCTTAAGTGTTTTAACCCATAAACAAACAAATGGCTGAGTCTTATAACAGCATTCAGTATATTTGAGTTTGCTTTTGTTTTTGAATTCATGACCGGTTTTTTATTCATTCGATAATTAGAAAAATATTCAGGTTCATCGGCTTCCTGGCATACATTTAAATTCTCACATTTTGCCTTTTAAATGTATACAGTAAATTACAGTTCAAATTTGCATACGATTCCTCGAGAATATCAATGAATAGAGAGACTCTAGCAAACTATTCTAGCAGGTTTTGATTTATAATTAAACTTTGACACGTATCTATATGACGTTGTAGAAAGCATGAAACTTGCTTCATAAACTAGGATTCATGATAATGAATAATTGCGAATAGCTACTCATACTGAAATTAATGAACTTCAAGAGTTTAGTCTTTATTTACGCATTAAAATTTTTGATATTGTATTGAGACTTTGGTAATATAATGCAGGCTTGTATGCATTTATATGGGTCGGTTATGTTAGCGCCTCTTGCATTTCGGAAATAAATCAAACTAAAACTCATCATTTTGCCTCATAAAAAAAATTATGCAGCTCTACAGAAAATAAATTTCAACCATTATTTAGAGATGAAGCAAGAAGAAGAAGCTCAAAGATGATAAGAACAGCACCGGCTTGCGGCACTTTTACGACAACAAGAACAAGGAGATCGAAGATCGAAAGAAAAACAAAAAAAAAACGAGAAGAGGAATCCCGAAAACAGAAAGAAAAACAAGAAAAACATTGCGGGCTTCAAGAAAATTTTAAAATTAAATGACAAACCGTTATCTTTGAGGAACAAACCAGACTCGAGAAAATCCTGAAATGGCAAGATAATAAATTCAAGAGTGCAATGGAAGAAGTATACCTACGTGAAGTATTGCGTGATGGGGGTGGGAGTGCCCGTCAGGAAGTTTGGGAGGCTTCATCAAAAAGTTAGAATTTGGAAGCCTTCATCAGGAAGTTGGAAATTTCCGCCACGAAATGGATAGTATTCAGAATAAAATTAGGAACTTAATAAACCAGCATTTACGTCATCCTAGAGATTTCTTGTTGGAATGTTGTTGTATATAAAGCATCAAGCACGTTGTTTGTAAGACGGTCAGTCAGTTTTACTAAATAGAAAAAGTAGGGTATAAAGTTAGGCAAAAGCGTTAAGTGATTAAACAATGTTTTGAAATAAATTAGTTCAATAAAAGTTGTTGTTAGTGGAGACAGTTTTAGTGAACCTGTGACTTAACAAAATATGACTTAAAAGGCCCTGTATGTAAAAAACATATCTTTCTCAATCTAGATTATTAGAAAGAAATATATCTACAAAAAAATAAGGTAGGTTCTTTTTTTAAATTATTATTATTAAGAAATCTTCCACCTCGTACAATCTTGTATCCTTGACGTGAAGAAACAGTTCAATTTTATCGGTCACCAATTAAATGGACCAAAGAAATAAATAATATAACACATATTCTAAGAATACTGATTGCTCTTTTATTAAACAGCTGGAAGGTTATGTTCGGTCAAACATCTTGTATATTTTATGTATCATATTCGCTGGAATTGCATTTCTTTTTAATCAACAATGTAAAGATAAGCGGAACAATATGGAAATTCTGTGAAATATCATTGAATAACGCATACATATAGAGTCAAGGCACTCTAACTAAAAAAATGCCTAGACTGATTTATAATCTTGTCTTGAGAAGTGTTTATAGACTTTGCTAGATGTCAGCAAACAGGTTGATAACATCAGCAGATGAAAAATCTTTGAAAAAAGAAAAAATATCAGTTGCATAACAGTCTTATCTACACTTATATTTTGAAAATTACTGTTTACACCTTCAAGCCGATTCTACTTGCTCCAGAACTAATCTCTTATCAAATATACAAATTTTTGATTTTATATGGCATTTGAATGTAAATATCATCAATTTACTTTTATCCTCCACTCATTACCTGATCTCTCTGAACGAATTTTATATTTTGTTAATGTTTATTCGATAACACTTAAGTAAGTACCTACTTTTAGTGTCCCAATTTTGTTTATCTGTGCATCAAGCGGATTTATTTTATGTTCCTTATCATTTTACAAATATAAGGCATACAACTTATAACCAGGGTTATTGAAGTTTCAAAATACAGGTAATAGACTATAATATTATGTTTACGTCAATAGTAAACAGATATTTAGATAATACAATCCTATTTGTCTATTGTATTTAAAGCAGCTATATAGAAAAAATGCCTGTGCAGAACACAGGCAAGGCTACCTTGCCCATTTAATTATCCATAATTTGGCTCTGAATTGGTCATCATGAAATCGTTGTTGATTGAAATCCCATTCCATTGTTATGCATATTTATCATTTTGACAAATGGATCAATGGATCTAGTTACGTTGTTGAAAATTACCTAAAAATGTGATATTCGAAAACGTATTCTCCCGGACCCCCATAAAAATACTTCAATCATTAATTTGGAACAAATATGGTAAAATTTGAAAGGAACTTATGGCCGTTTCCACCACCTATTTTAGGGGAGCCTTAACGATAAGTATTCCTTAAACTGACATTTCTCCATGTAAAACTGTCATTTTAGGGAATATACTTATCGTTAAGGCTCCCCTAGAATAGTTGGTGGAAACGGCCATTACCCCCTTAGGAAGAGATAAAACCGTCGATACGTTGAGAGTATACTTTAGTTACAGGTAAATACAGAGGGCTGAAAAAGTATGTATTTTCCAAAATCTAGATATCAGCTGGGTTCTTTGTAAAGAATATGCCGGAATGCGAATATGGCATTTCTTCTATGAAGCTCCCGGAAAGTAAAAGACCAACGCCTTTCACCCCAAGGAACCGCGTAGAAGAATGGTAGGAAGGCCTAAAAGTTATACCTAGTTATTTTGTTCAATATTAGAAGCAAAGTTTATTTAGAAGTACATATTATTTTGTCGTTTTTGGGTATATGTTGGCCAATAAAACCAAATAACTTTGTTTTTAGCAACGTTTCGAAAAAGTTATTCTCTTCTTCAGCCTTCAAAACAAGGTCAATATTAGTGAAGTTAACAATATTATTTTGGGGTTCCAAAGACTATTGCATATGGTAATCACAAAACTGCACTTTTTTATATTTATTTAAGTTGATTTTCAATTTAGAAACCGTTCTGTCATTCGTTTTGTGTCTCTCGAGCAACAACTGAAAAGTTTTAGTGACTGAAACTAAACAAGTTCACTTAACTGAAAGTAGAAATGTTAAAATAATGGCATAATTAAAAAAGGCGTAATGAGTTCACCCTCGGAATTTCTCTCATGTAGCGAAGTGGTACTGATGTAGTAGGGTGATGTAGGGCCGAAACCGAAAACGCTTTGCACTTTCATTAAAAATAATTTTCCTACGAAATACAAATGTCTTTCATTTCTCAAGAAAAAATGCACGGAGAGTTTCTAAAGAGATGATTTTCCCAAAGAAGCGGATTTTTTAAATATTAGATAAAAAAGGCTAAGTTCGCATAAAACAATGTTTTCATAAAACTTTGGTTATTTTAAAAAAGTCATGGTCTGAAACTTAGATGTCTGGACGCTTTTTATTGTGGAAAATAGTCCTTAAGGTAGCAAATAAACAGCAACAGAATAATCAGGGTGCCATTTGGAAAAAAGGCAGGAAGAATAAAAAGCCTTCTTGCACAAAGTTCCTAATGAAATTGAAAAAAATCGAGACTAAATAGTTCTCATTATCAGGGTATTAATGCCAGGTTTTCAGTTTTCATAAGATGGGTTGGTAAAGCGGGAGAAAGACCAAACTTTACATTTATTATTGAAAATGTATAGAGTAGCTGGAAAGAGAATTTCTGTCAGGAAAGAATTTGTATTTTTATTAACTCTAACTTTGTATTTTCTCTACTTCGAGGATGGACTTCTTAACAGGTGATTTTTCAAATAGATATAAGGAATGTTACCTTAATATAAGTCCCTTTCCTCATGAAATGAAATTTTGTTCATTTAATATTTTTAGTATATCTGGGAAGTCATTGGTTTATAATATTTAATAATTAATGGAGATTTTGAGTTAGTGAAAGGGAACTTGAGACAATATCTAGTATATTATGGTAAATCTGCAGTAGGTAGATACGTATAGTATTAATTATTTATAGGTAGTTATAGATACCTACACATCATATACCTACCAACACTTTCTCTTTAAAGCTGAAATGTATTAGGTGTATTTAATTTATATATCAATGAAACTGTTGGTGTTATTTTCAACAATGAAATATGTACATTAGGTAGGAATTGTATTTTTTAATACATCAAATATCTGTTAGCCGAAATTATTTAAAAAAAAAACACGCTCAATTATTTTAGTCTATATGTATTTCGATAAAAAAATGCTATTGTTAAAATATTTTCGGCCAAAGATAATATGCCTACCTATGTGCCAAATAGGAATATCTATCTATATCTACTATATTGTGAATAAATAGTTCAAACACAAAGTGATGTGAAAAAAATGCAGCTCAAAATCAAAACTTACCTCTAAAAAATCGTTTCAAATACCATAAGATAAGAGGTCAACACATCGCAAGAATAACAAGGCGGCAAAATGTTCCGCAACTTTCCATCGCATCAAAAATCTGTTACCAAATCATCAAATATCACAAAAACTACCGCGACTTTTCCTGAGAGCAAGATAACATAGAACGGACCATCCAGAAAAGCGTATTTCTAAGGAAAAACCAAATGCGAAGTCTTAAAGTATTTGAGACTGATGAACGACCTTGGCAAACAACCTTAGATATGATATGTCATTCGACAGTACCGGAGTCGTATCAAGTAGCGTGAGGACGCGACCAAGCTATTCTCGAATTCAACGTAAACATAACTGACTGAACCGCTATAGTCTGACCGCATCTTACCGTGTACCAGTCGTAATAGTAGTATCATTTGGCGTTTTTGCGCAGACGCTAAAGTGGTACCTTCAAACCCAAACAGGTTGGGATGCTGCTCTGCGACATCGGAAGAGATAAAAATAAAAAAAAATATTTTGAGTTCTGCCACTGATTTGTTTCTATTTTGATAACATGGCGCGAAAAATAAATACACAAATAAAATGTGTTTTTGGTTATTGGAGACTATTTTGGTTATTGTAGACTAATCAAAGGCGATAATTAGATATAATTAATTTGTTGTTTAATGGAATTTCGTTCGTAATTTCATAGTTTCAAATCAAATTAGCACCTTTATTTTCACCTAACTACATTGTTTATGCATTATTAGGTTTTCCGAAAGAACTAAATTGAGCAAAAATTTCAATAATAGATCCTATTGAACATTAAAACCATATCAAAGAGTGCTTAGATTACGAAAACGTACGTCGCATTATTGTTTATTTATTGGTGAGGATTTTTGACATAACATTTTGACATTAAAGTTTATTGACAAAATTGAAGAAAAATATCGCTGCGACGTTTAAAAAACCATAGCAATCTTTGATTGTTTTTTTTTTTTTGAAGACCCGTTATCAGATTATCAATTTGCATCATTTCTCGAGTAGGTATATTTTGCACTTCCATTTTCCAAATTGTACACGTATGAGTTTCCATCGTCCTGTCTGTGTTAAATTAGAAATTCAACGGTGAAAACTGCATGTTCCTATAGTTGTATTCGCTCGACAAATCAAGACTGTGAGAAAAAGTAATGATAAATAAATATTTTTGGCATCAAAATCGAATAGTTCCTATAATAGAGCAGGCGCTACAAGTAGTTGAGTATGCAAAATATGAGGACCGGCAAAAATGCTCAAATTCGTATTCCTGTGACCTTGAAGAATGGGAAAGTACATCTTGCCTTCAGCTGGAGTGGTCCCTAACTCTCCTGCCATGCCCCAATGCAAAGTTATATTAAAAATATCAAAATTTCAAGACATTTCACAATAATTCCTATATTGATTGTACCTAAGGCTTTCTTTTCAAGCACTCAAAATAAATTACCTACCTCTATTGACCTATTAAATTCAACAGGTAAAGCTAAAATTATTAAGCATAAAACATTGAAATAAAATGAAAACAGCTATCAGAATATCAAATATTTTCAACAGAATAGACGTAGGAAATGCGACTTTCCTAAAATCATACAAGAACAAGGTGTTTCATTTGAAAAACAGTTCACCCATGGCGTAGCTCTTTGGTTCAAAGGATTTTTTTGGTACCATTTTTGAATTCTCCAGAAAAAAATATTTAAAATTGCTATTATGGATTTTCTCAAAAATACAGGGAAAGTCAAAAATTTGCCCCTAGCTGTTCAGTCCTCGTTGGATGAACCTGCACATCTGTGGAGGATTGGCCGATCCAACAAAATGTTTCAAGTCGAAAGAACTAGCAACTATTGGTTGTCTAGGTGTATGGTAGGATGCCACTTAGCTGCTGAATCTCTTGGGTAAAGAATATGTCACATTTTACTAGCATTACATTTGGTAAGTGGTTGCGATAATACCAGTAAAAAAGTTTTTCAAGGATGCATCCGTAGATTTTTAACAAAAAGCCTCAGAAGATTTGGGAAACCTCTCCATCTAAATGCTGAACAACTTAAACAGGAACAGTCTACCCTTTTTTTTGAAAAAAAAAAAAAAAAAACTAACTGCTGATGAACTGCTGATTTCATCCCAAAACATATAGGTTTCAGCTTCAACTTAATGAAAATAATATGTACGTCGGATGCTTTAAATTTGCATTTGTTAAGGGCTACAGTACAAATATCTATTTGGAAAAATGCACATCAAGCCCAATTGGAACCTATCGACTATTCTTCATTTGGCTATGAAGAGAACAATGATAGGTACCTTATGTCCACGACAAATGATCACGTTGCCTTTGCCAGAATCATTGATTCAGCCTTGTAAATGTACATCCCAATTGTCCAACAATGCCATGCAGTTGTAAAAAGTCAAAATCACCCTATATTTCATTGCGTAAATGCATAAATAATGACTGCCCAAATAAAAATGACTAATTATTTATCTCGCTTCGATCTATTTCTATTTGTATTTGCTGTTTACTTTTGTATTTTTTTTTAAATAAATCTTTTTTAAAATTATTTATTCTATCTATTTTTTACTTCATGTTTTTTTGTTGTTAATTTTGAAACCACGACTTCTGGGATTCCGGCCCCATGCTCTAGTAAACTTTCAAATGATAATAACTTTTTTTATTCAAAACCCTGTCGTCTTTTTCACCATAAGAGAAAACTGAATTGGAATTACGATAGTCACTAAAATCACACATATACCATATGCTCCATGGATTTTCTCAGGAGAGGAGATAAAAAAAAATGGACCAAAAAATGAACCGGCAAGAACCGGATTATTAATCTTTGAACTTTTCTCAGCTACTATCCATTGATAAAATGCGGTCCTCACATTTTGCATACTCATATCCATCTAGCTCCCGGTCTATCGGTCTATGCAAAACTTTTTGAATAGGTACTAAAGTTTTCTAAAACAGGCGATGCACAATATAGGCACGCCTAGTGTTGGAAATAAAACGATTTGAAAATCAAATTTTTAAACTGATGCAAAAACCCGGGCCCGGAAAGTGACGTCACTTTCCGGAAAATGCGACGATGCCGAATTTCTCATTAGTGAATCATTAGACAGCTCACTACCTAGAATCTATTTGTCCTTCACTACGTTATGAAAAAATAAAGGATAGGTATAATCGTTGAATTCATTTAGATTTCGTATTTTCAAATTTGGCAACAAAATCATGAATATCGGCTTTAGCCAATGAGACGGCGTTTTCAGTCACGTGGTTTTTTGTTTAAATTCGCTATTTTTATTTATTAATTTATTTGATAATCTGACTGAAACCTCACAAAATATTGTTCATTCTCAGTTGCATCTATTTATCTACGTCAAAAGATATCATAATTTGCCATATTCCTGGCACTTTGCCTATCGAGTGTCTAGCATGCTCCCCCAATTTGTTGCATAAAATTATGCACTTTTCATGAGGATACCTACCTCAAAAACGTATAAAAGTATACAACACTAAACGGAGATAAAAATTTGGATGAACAAAATATCAAATTGAAAAATGTAGTAATGTCTGCTTTTTGTGATATATTGACTTGGATTTGCCAAGCAGAAGAAGAAAGACGTAGGTACCTACAGTTTCAGTACGAATCTATTTGAAAAAATAATATTTCATAATGATTGAATAGGTAAAACAACTGTTTCTAGATTTATCTTTTTTACTTAATTAGGTAGGTACTTACAGACAGTAGGTACAGAAAAATGCAAAACTAAACAGGGGGTGCCATATGAAAAATAAACATAAGTAATATATTGTCACAAAATTGCATCCATGCGAAGAACCCGGTAGAATGTTGACGAACCCGAGCGCGAGTATTCCGGATTCCCATTGTATCATTAATAAAATAAAGTATTAACGTGAATCTGGATATGGTTTATGAAGCTCGTAGTCAGTTTATTGCAGTATACACTTAAGTGAAATGGATAAGTGATTAGTTAGTTCCCTAGAAGTTGTTGTTGTTAGTGATCAGTGACAATTTGGTATCAGAGAAGTGGAATAGTTAACGAGAAAATTGCTGTAATAATTTGAGCTGATAGTGAAATAATTGGCGAGATAACTAGTTGATTAGTTTGAGCTAATTTGGTGGATAACTATAATACTGATTTTAGCTTATTGTTGGGAACAATAAGTGAACTTAGTTTGAACTGAAAAAGGTGGTGATTATGAATACTAGTTCTGACATCGAAAAACAATTCTACAGCATGAGTTTTCAGGAACATTTGATCGTCTTCAATTTGAGAATTAGACGAGGATTAAGAATTTTGATTTCGCCACCGGACTTTTGTATTTAAAATCAAGTTTCAAAAAATATACAGGGGTATTGTGAAAAAACAAAAGCCAATAGTTAAGAGGAATGGAGCAAGTTAATCAAATATTGGTGGACTTCATCAAAAATATCGAAGACAGAAGAAAGAGGGAGCCCGAAGGAAGAGAGAAAAACAAGAAAAACAGGACCGCGGCTGCAGCATTTTTACAACAACAAGAAGATCGGAGATCAAGAGAGAGAAAACACGAAGAGGACCGACTTGGCGCACTTTTACAACATTGGGTATTAAAAGATAAACAAAAAAGGGGAAGACCGAAGACAAAAAAAAAGGCAAGAAGGGAAATCCCGAAGACAAGAAGAACAGTGGCGGCAAAACTTTTACAACAACAAGAAAATCGGAAATCGAAAGAAAACCAAGAAGAGGAAGCTCTAAGAAAAAAAAAAAAAAAACATAACCGACTTTAGGAAAATTTTTCAGCGAGAATGGATTTAAACCGTAATCCCTGAGGAACAAACTAGACTCGAGAAAATCATGAAAGGGTAAGATAATAAATCAAGGATGCAATGGAAGTAGTAGATACGTGAAGAAGTTGGGAGTGTTCGTCAGGAAGTTGAAACTGTTCATCAGGAAACTGGAAATGTTCGTCATGAAGTTTGAATAAACGTTCGCCAAGAGGGAAATTGAAAAGTTATCGATGATGTATAGTGCCGTGAGTTGCAATGGCTAGTGGTTAGAGCTCCGATGAAATGGCTACCTACTGGCTTTATTGTGACATTGCGTTGCCCTGTCTGAGACCTATATTAGTGCTTTTCGCCAGCTTCTCAACAAAACTCAGGAATCAGGAAACTTCCGTAATCTCTTGGATATCGTCGAACTGTTGCTTATTTCTCAGTTTCCCCCCTCAGAGGGACTTATTTTGGCGGGTGATCTTAATATAGACTTCACAAACAACGACTCCAGCGCTACAAAATTACTAATAGAGGACCCCGCATACCTCTTATGGGTTTTTGGTTTTCTAACA